TCTTGCCATTTGAGCAGCACACATGAAATCTATCAACTCCGGAAACGGTGCTTCTGGACCTAGAAAGTTGTGAGGAAGACATTTTATAATCTGGAAATGAAATAAAAAAAAAGGTATCGTGATTCCAAAAAGATATTTAGGTATATTGCTGAGGAGAAAAACATATATAAAAAATATTATACACACCACATCTCTCCATTGCGATGGAAGCCTCCTCCGCAGGGTATCCCATATTTGCTAGGAATAATAATGTCTTCTCGTTTTCAGACAAAGAACAGTTGTCGTCATTCAAGTAGCTCTGTTTAGCAGAATTCTATCACACATAAAAAAGGAAAATGTCAGTAAAGCTTTACATAATTGTGCCTATAAAACCATAACAAGATTCAGGACCAGCAAAACATCCTTGATGGTAAAAGAAGTATTAGTCGATGAACAGATAGGCGGAATAAAATGACTAGATGTATATTGTTGAAAAAAAGACAAACAGATCGACTATTTTTACGCCACAACTAGACAGTGCAAAGCACAATGGAGAGTAATAATTGAGGATAACATACTACACAATTGTCCGAGTCCAAGGACCAGCTATCATCTTCAGAAACATCATCCAAAAAGTTTTCGTTGTACTGGGAAGAGCTATCATCAGAAGTAATGCAGGGTTCCATCTGAGTGCTCGTACTCGGCTGTTCTTCAGGAGAATCTTCAAGTGCCTGCTACATCCAAAGACAAACAAAAAGTACGGTTTGTGGTACTAAAGTTTATGCAAATTACAAAGATCATATTTTTTCTGTTTTTGTTTCCACTTCTATTCTGGTGAAAAATGGAACGACAGAAGAAAGTCGTCATTACAACGAAGACAGATAAGAATCCAGCATATTCGTAACACAATTGGCATCATACATTGCAGAGTCATCACCTAGGGAAACGTTTCAAATGAGAGAATCTCGTCATCGGTTCTAATAGTCGTCCATTTAAACCGCTGACTGATCTAAAACAACCTTATGCAAGTGGCGGAACGTATAGGCAGCTAAGAAGAGAAAAAAGTGGTAGGCAAATAATTATGCAGATATTACACACCTTGAATGTCAAAAGAGCATCTAGCACCAAACCTTCATTTTCTCCTGTGTCACAAGTCGAACAACATCAATACGACAATTGAAAAATCAAATTTTTAGTTGTATAAAGACTCGGACAATTGAAATACCATTTTGCTCTATCGCTTTTGCAATAGACTCTTCAGGAAATCCCATCACGATAAATTGTTGAATGAACTTAGATTGACATGGTTCTGATGATGATCTTGCCTTCACGTACGAGAAGACCAAAAGAGGCCATAAATTTAGATGCAATGTTCATCGACAAGAAATATCACTAGGTATCGAATATAAGGATTAAAGCATATACCTCCCTATGACCACTAACGGTATGATATCCAACACTTCTTAAATTGGTGCACGAGGAAAATGTTGCATCCGGCATTTCTTGTATTTCTAATTCATCTTCAGTATCCCAGTCAATGCTGTCATTGTCTTCTCCAGAAAAGTTGTTATCCTGAACGCGATTGAAAAAACAAAAGAAATTCAAACAAACAAGGATCATAGACCTTCCATTTCTGATCTATGACCAGTATGAAATTAAAAAACTGCAGTCTTAAAGACTCGAGATACGAGATAAAACTTACCATTTTTAAAGGTAATTCCTTAAAAAGAACTCCGAACTCTGCAGCAACAAAAATAAATCATCACCCTGCATAACACCAGAAGTTACGTAAACGTGAGTTACTGACATTATAGCTCCACAGAGCAACAAAATCAAATCTCACACAAAAAACTTGAAATCAAATTTTTCTTCATGAGCAGGATTCAGGAAGACATAACACTTATACACTACATCAAAAATGATCTCTTGCAGCAATCAATTAACGACATAACACTTGTAGACTAAATATGTATTTTTAGTGGCATGTAGCATTCTTTGTAAATGTAACTATAACGACATTGAATCTAATGGTAATTAACTAATAAATGCAGGTAAAAACTTTACCAGCGCATTGTAGTAATACTGGATACATTTTCTAATAAATTTAACATGACCGCAAAATCAAATTATTAGCTCACCATGAATTCGCTTCCACAAACATTTGAAGCTCGAATCGTACGCACCCCTCACTCCTAACCTTAAGGTTCCGACTCCAAAGGAACAAGGAGTTAAAAATCGAACATTTAAAACAATCTAACTAGCTAAATACTGACAAATTTTATAGCTAAACAACAACATCCGTCGCTAATCCTACTTAGCGACGAATTAGCCACAAATTTTCATTATCTATCATCAAAATATTGATATGGCTAGTGTGGATGTGGGATTCATACAGGATACAGGGCAGAGCTACGGTAAACTAAACTCTCAAAACCTGTAGGACTACATTATACATGTTCTCAAAACTCATAGGACTATACATTATATTATACATGTTACTAAGTTATAAACCTCTATTTACAGAGTCATAAACCTGTAAACCTGTTAACAGTAAAAAAATAACTCACCAAATATTGAAAAATTATCACAAAATTTTCCATTGCAAACAAATCGATCAAACTAATTAATCAACACAAACTATATAATTAACAAAACAGATGCATGCAATTATTAGCAAAAAAATTAACAAAATCAACCAATACTTACCAAAATTTAGTTATCGGAGATATACTTAGCTACCTAAATAGATGAATTATATTGTTGTTACATGCATTTTTTTCAGAGTAAAAGTGTAGAAAATGCTGAAAAAATAGTGTTTTTTTTCACAAAGCAAAAGAAAAAGAGAGGATAACCAAACATGTAAGGACAGAGTAGTCATTTGAAAGCACCACCTGTTTTAATGCAGGTACACGTGTCTCCATATTAGCAAATGAACTTTTTTTATTCAATGACACATGGCTCGATTTGGTTCGATTTTTTAATATAATATGAATAACAATATGTTTCTTTCAACGTATATAGATTTTATTTCTATCTTAAATAAATAAATAAAAATATTTTTAATAGATTTTTTATTTAGGTTATTTAAGAAAAAAAATAGAATTTACATTTTTAATTAATTTTAAGCGTATTAATTGTGTATCCCCCTTATAAGATTGAATTCATATTAAAATTACAATTTGCGAAAATGTAGATGGTTTATTTAATTTTACTATTGTTTATTGTCTTTTTAATTTTAAAAGTTGATAGTTTATCTTTTTTTTAAAAATTGAAATTGACATTTTAAGGACTCAATTTACTAAGATGACAATTATTTATCCTCAACTAATTTAAGTTAACATGACAGCAAAAATGTTCTTTCCATAGCTAGTTAGAAGGCCATAAAAAAATATTGTCCAATAATTATTTACCTTAACTCAATTGCATAATAATTCAAGGGTATAATTGAAAAGAATTTCTTTTATAAAGTTTAATTCAAACACAAGATGAGGTGGGAAACAGTGAACCATACATTTGGTAAAAGTAATCTCTGTATTACTAATTCCTGAACTATTAATCCCTATATTACTGATTCTAGCATTACTAATTACTGTATTATTAATCTTTGTAACAAACGACCCGTTTAGACCATAAGTATCAAAAAAAAAATCACAAAATATATCAATGACATAGAGGATATTTAATAAATCACCATTAGTGCAGCCAAAATAGTTTTTTTTCTTCTTAGTATTTGTGGTCTGATTAAATAATGGTATTAGGTCTAAAACCCCATTTGCACTGAGGTGAACACTTGAACTAATGTTTTATTGGTTTACATTTTCTTCAAAGTATTTGTTGTGATTGAATGATACATTACTACTATTTTATAGTATTTTTTATATATATACAGAAAAACATTATTCATTGTCATAATTTGTAGTGTGGGAAATTAAGAAAAGCATATAGGTTGTTGGGACTTAATTTTTGATGAAATAAGTAACATGCATGAAGCAAACATGGATTTATTACTAGTAAAATAAATTTATTAGTAGTATAAGTTCTTGATTTGACAGGACACTGTACAAACATTTTAATTAGCACTAAACACAAACAAACAAAAAAAAACTATAGGTTTTCAGATTAAATTGCCTTCTCACTGCAATAAAAATTATTTTTAGTGGTAATAAAAATAAATATTAATAAAAAGTACTAAGACTTTTACCGATATTAGGTAACTGTTATTGAATTCAGAGACATTTATAAAAAGTGTTAATTGTCACTAAAAACACATATAGCGACGATTTAGCTATTATTATCAATTAATTGCCGCTAAAAACATTATATTTGATGTAATGTATCTCTGATAATTCAACTAAATTTTGCATTATGTTAAATGATTTGTATTGTTTATTACTTAATTTTGTTAAACATTTTTTAATGCAGAACACTTGTAAGATTAAAACAATTGAGTTTATGGTATAATAAATTCAAAGGACTAGGAATCTTTATTTCTGAAAAGACTAATTCCTACACTTGGAATTTAAAACTCAGTCAAATTTTCAATAATTTTTAAAGATCCAACCAACCACTTCTTTAATTTATTTTCTTAATATTATTAAAAAGTGAGTTTGTATTTTAGACCCCCAAACATTGATAAATTCATGTTTTTGTCCTTATAATTATCTGATTAAACACATTTAACCTTCAATTGATTCAAATATAAGGATAATATAATTCTAAAAACGTTACATCCCTCATATAAATTGACCAAAAATATTTATTCTTTACGTCCCAGAATACTTATCATTAGTCGATTTCACTAAAATTCGGAGTTAAATTGAAATAAATTATTTTACTATTTTAAAATTAAAATCTTAAATATTTAAAAACTGCATGAAAAATCATAAAATCAGAAGAACCAAAAATAAGAATTCATCAATAATTGAGGATCGAAATTGCAATTTTCCTTTCTTAAAACATTTTCTCAATAGTAGTATATAAGAAGGTACTCCATAATGAAATTCACATAGAATTAACCAACTTTTCCCATCACATAAAAGCCAAAAATACATTATAGTAATACATCAACCACTTTACATGTACAAAATTTAATTGAAATTTGAAAGGCTAGCTTATTGTTTTTTTCATCTTGATAGATGTCTAAGCCAAATGCAAGAAGATATGCAATAGAGAAACACAATAAAGAGGAGGAGTCTATAATTAGCAATAATTATGGGAATAACTTGTTTTATTTATCCAAACATTTGAAAAGAGTTTACCCAATAGAGCTTCACAAAACTTTTATAAATGATTTTTCTTCTCCATTGGATCATAAAAAAAGAGAAATTTTAGACAAAAATATTGTTGTTCCACAAGTTATTCCATGTCCTAATGAGAAAGAGCTTATGAGGTGTAGCTGGATAACTAATACCACAGGTAAGTTTCATCTAGCATTACTCTTTTTATCATTTCACTACAAAGAAAATATGGAATTTATCGAAATTCATAGCTAATCTATCACTAAAAGGCTTCTAGCTAATTGAATTTTCTTATAATTTTGTCGTTAAATCGTAGCTAAAGGAAATTATTAGCATTAGATTTTTGTTGTTTAGCTAAGAAATTTTATCCGTCAATTTTTTATTTTCTAATAGTGCTTTTTTCGTTGATATGAAAAATAATAATAATATATATATAGGGATGTTTTCAATTACACTTCTCTAGGTTTTTCATTAAATAAGAATTTCATGCTCTAATAAGAGTTTGATATCAGTTGTACTGATGTCATGTGACAGGTCATCTAAGTTTAATTAGTCAATTAGAAGAGAGTTTTTAAGGCTATCAATAATTCGGAAACAAAACTAGTAATTTGCGCCAACTTCTAAAATGTTTTCAATACATCTCGATTTGATCAATTATAACATTAAAAGAAAATGTTAGTATATATAATATTACATATATTCTTTTTTCATAACTAATTAGTAGTGTTTTATATGCCTTGATAGTACATTATATTCTTCAGTGACAAAACACAATTGGGCATGAAAGTACAACTTAATTGGATTATTGATCCTCTTAAGTACCAAAGTAAATTTTGGAGATTAAAAGACTCATTGAGTTTGCTATGTATATATGATATACAGATAAGGTTTATGTGCAATTCCATGATGAATGCTGGGGTGTTCCAGTTTATGATGACCAGTAAGTAGTCTAATATATAATTCATCAAAATTTTTAAATATTATTTTTCACTTAAAAAAATAATTTTCATCATCAAACGAGACCTAAATGTACCCACACTGCAGTCAATTGTTTGAGCTACTTTCTTTGGCTGGCTTGTTGATGGATTTCAACTGGACTGAAATTTTAAAGATAAGGGAACAAATAAGGTACATACTTCTAGTTTGTTAGTAGCTTTTAAATTTATTTACTATTTATTATATTATTACTATATATACAATGAACAAAGCACCAATTATCTAGTGGTAGAAATATATCTTTGTCACATTAAAGATGGGAGTTTAAATTCTAGATAGTGCATATTTTAGAGAAGAACACAGTTTCTCTCATGTGATCAGGAGGTAACAAGATCAAATCGTAAAAATTATAGAAACGCAGGATAAAGTCATAAACAATACACCAATAATCTAGTAGCGTTAGAAATATATCCTATCAAATTAAAGACGGAATTCCAATTCTCAATAGTGCATTTGAGAGCGTAACTGGTAAAGTTGCTTCCTTGTGATCAAGAGGTCACAAGCCCAACTCGTGAAAACAACCTTTTGCAGAAATATAAAACAAGACTGTGTACAATAAATCCTTATACAATCCAGACTTTCCCCAAACTCCACGTATAGTAAAAATTATAATGCACCAAACTGTCCAATATATAATAAATTATTGTTCAATATTCCTTGTGATAATTATATTATAATTATGCAGAGAAGCCTTTGTTGGATTCAATGCAAAGCAAGTGGCTGAAATGGGAGAGAAAGATATTAATGAATTGGTGTCCAATGTGTCCCTCATGTTGGCTGAAAATAGAGCTAGATCAATAGTTAACAACGCCAAATGCATAGTCAAGGCAAGTCTTTATTATGCATTCATAAATTTTATCTACTCTACCTCCATCACAATAAATTCATGTATGAATAATAATGTAGTAATTTTTAAAAGTGAAATTATTGTTTTGTTTATTATGCAGATTGGAGAGGAATTTGGATCTTTGAGTTGCTACATGTGGAACCATATGAATTATAAAGCAATAATTAACAGATTTAAAAATGCAAGGAATGTACCATTAAGAAGTCCAAAAGCAGAAGCAATTAGCAAAGATTTAGTGAAGAGGGGATTAAGACATGTTGGTCCAGTTGTTATCAATTCATTCATGCAAGCTGCTGGAATGACTAATGATCATTTGATTTATTGTTTTAGGCATAAACAATGTGTTAATCTTGCTGAAAGACCTTGGAGGCATGTTTAAATTGTAATAATTCCCACTTGTAAGTGGATTTTTAATATATCAACTTTTTTTAAGACAAATTTACCTGGTGTAATATAGCAAATAATTACTATTCGTAGCTACAATTTAAAATAAATCCCTTTAACCTAAAAAGATAGGGGCATTGTGCCTTCCTATGCTACAACTCAACCCAAGGCATTCATTTATCTCCTATTCGGAGTGGGGACGTATCGATTCATGAATTCATCTTCTCCTCTTTAGATTATATATATCTTTTTTTTTTAAAAAAAAAAAAAACTGTACTTAAATATAGATGCATGAAATGGTTTTCTGGTTGATGGTACAAGTATATGTTATAAAATATAATTATGTTATTAAATTGAAATACACAAATCATTGACTTGAACATCTACTTTTATCACTCCCTCTAGCTTAAGTTGCAAGGGATAATTATTAAATAAAACAAATGCCCACCCCCACATAGTGTCTATATATGTAGAAAGGTTGTGTTTATGAAAAATTATCCAGTTTGATGCAGACATGCACCAAATCTTATCTTATCTCTTTTTATCTTTTTATCATCAAAGTCTGTCTTTTCAACTTAGATTAGCTGTAACCACCAAATCGACAACACTTAAACAAACTATACTTTACTGTCCTACTTATCATGAGTTAGACGGATTTGTTGGTATCTTTTACCATATTATCATCTTTATAGGGTTTGATGATGATTGATAAGCAATCAAACGAACAATAATAATGATATACTCAGTGAAATATATGGAGCTAGAAGAAAAACAGTAACAGTAACAAGTATATGATAACCTAAAGTAAAAGGTAATATTGACTACAATAATATTTCACTAAAACAATCAAGTTTGTTTTTGAAACAGACTTTCCTATAATATCAAAGAAGGGTATATTTCACTTTTGTTGATTTGAGTTACATCTCAATATCAAATTAATTAGTAAGTACTACCTTATTATGTGGATTCCACTTGATTTTTCTTCAATGATGTTTAGTTTTGAACTTTATCAATCATTAAAGTGGCAACAGGTTTTCTTATAGGGACCCAACCTGCACTTTTTTGTTGCCTTTAGAATAATGGTGTTGCTATTACTTTTTCCACCTGAAAGAGAATACAAATATACAACCTGGACTAACATGACAAATATGCCAAAAGACACAACACAAAACCACTAAAAAGGTAATCAAAATGTATCATAAGAATATGTACATAACTTTTCGTTTCTCAAATTACATTCTACAAATTATTTATCTAACAAAGAGTTGAAAAGATTGAAGATGTCAACAAGAAAACAGAAAATCTACAACCAATTCTACTCAGCCCTTCAACTCGGCTGTCTCCAAAAATATTTACAGCATATTCTAACGTTGTTCCTACTCCCGTACTCTATCACAACTTCATTCAGTCTTATTTAGTTTACGCATAAGTCATATTTAATAGAGTAATTACCTCGATTCTCAAAACTGGCAAGAAGTTCCAAGCCTTTGCATCTGCCTCTGACCAAGGGTGATAGACTTGCGTTTTGCGAAAGCTGGGTAAAGAAGCTCTTCAAACTTGTCTAGAAACAAACCCCACTCGACGTCATTCATATCTGATAGCTTCACAAAGGTGACACTTGCAGGAAGCTGCTCATTTGCGCTACGATGTCCAGAGGAGGAACTAGCCAGATAGCCGTTTTCTGGTTTTGTTCCTGAGATATTAGGATATTTCAGTTTCTTCTCACCTAAGCTGGTGTTCTTGAGAGACATTGAAAGTTTTGACACAGCAATGTTCTTTGCTGGGGCAGGAACATAATTAAAGCTCTTCTCATCTTCTCCGTCACTTTCCACTTCCTCAATACTTTCATCTAGTTTAGAGAGTGGGAAGCAGCCATTTCCTCCAATTGGAAGATGAAACGGGTTTCTATTCGTGAAATCCCGAGGGATTGATTTGGGACTAGCCTCATATCCAGAATCTTCACAATCTATGTCAAACTGAAACTCGTTATCCACTTCAGTCTTGGGAGAAAGAATCTCCCTCTCAGCAATCAGGCTTCTTGCCTCTAAACAAACAACTTCAAGCTCACTTGGTTTCTCCTCCCCACTACGGAATTCCCTGGTCATCATCTCACCAATTTCCGCAAGACAGAGACCATAAGCGGCAGCTTCCTTGAGAAAAATGGTGGAAAGGACCAAGACACGAAGGCAAGCTTCACGAATCATAGGGAGTTCACTTCGTAGCATATCAGAGTCTCGGATAGGATCAAGTTTCTTTATGTACTCAAGTTCATCATCTGTGAACGGAATGGATGCCTGGGGCCAATGGATCCATTCAAAATACGGATCTTCCAAGCTCTCTGGAAGACAGAGCCCGTGATCAATGGGGATGAGCTCTACTTGACCAAACTGTCCAATACCGTCAAGCTTCCTAACTAAAAGATTCCCTGCATGTCTGTCTGTGTTAAAAATCCTAATGTCTAATATTCCAATGCGATGCACTGCAGCAACAGCGAAATTTGAGGTTCCATGGTCACTAGCATCAAAATCATGGGGAACAAACTGTTGAAAAGATGCAATCTTGCTCACAGGTTGCTTCTTGCTGAGAGGCTTGTCTCCATTTACACCATCATTGACATTAAAGACCGAGTGAGTGATTTTCACCAATGTAGTAGCTGGCACATTGGCAAAATGATCAGTGTCAAGAAGATACGCAGCGACCTCCCTATACCCTGTTTCCCCAACTCTGACTGATCGTTTTAAGCCTGGCTGCCCAAGAGCTTTGCCCACAAATCCTTTAGGATTGTTTGGCGCAAATGGTTCTTCATCTGTGGGCTTAACAATAGCAACACTCTCGCCTCTGCTATTTCTGAAAAAATACCCCCCTCCGAGTCCACCATGAACAGGAATTGGATCTACTCCAGTCTTTATTGCCTTCACAATTTCCTGGATAAGTTGCTTTGTCTCAGCAAAGCGACCTACATTTCCCAGTATTTCAATGGGACCACTTTGATCTCTAGGTTGGATATGATCCTTCCCTGTGGGTAAAAGGCATGGAGTTGATGAACTTCGATGCATAAAGTTCCTTGTCAGCAGTAGAGGGGAATCGTTCCGAACAGCACTTAGGTCATTATTCAACACCCTATCACCAAATGTCAAAGAACTTTCCTCAACTGGAAAGTTAAGTGCAAGCTGCAGCCTTCTTTTCACAGTATGTGCATTGTCGCTGCGTTCTAACTCCATCCCCAGTACACAACCAGTCTCAGTTTGAACAAAGACACGTCTCCTCCCAGTCGATTTCCCTTCCATCCTAGCTTTCCCATGGTACTCCCCGCCGAGTGGGCTCTTGAAGATTGCCACAGCCATCTGGGTCTGAACAGGACAATTATCCAGGTTACGAGACATAAAAGATAGAGAAACACAGTTGGGTGTCACAATCAACAAAAGAGATGGCGGCAGAAGAGAGCTTTCCACACACTCTCGGTTGAGCACCAAACTCAGAGGCGGATTGTGAGCACGTCAGGAAATGATTCAATCTGGACACAATCATCAATGTGCAAACAGGAACCAAAACCAACCCAGATGATGCCACAGGCAACAGCAAATATCACTATCACGTCAAATATGGTACAGCAAGAGATCAAGAATCTCAAGTGTTACATTAGAAGAGCCATCTTATGATGTGGATAAGACAGTGTACAAGATCTGTAAAGAGATATAAAACAAAATAAGGATACAACATGGAATAATTCATGCCATTAGTCAAGAAATGTTATTAGAGCATTACAAAGTTATTCATGTCATGGATGACCAAAACAACCAAATAGAAAAAATAAAAAAGATGCAAGTGACATTCACTGAAACAGCAAGGAATTTTTTTACATCAGCTCCCCGACATGTTTGAGATTAAACACAGTTATGGTGGTGTATTTGACCAGTTGTACTAGGCTGGTTATCCATATTTTTCTAACCTAACAAAACTCAAGCTTACTACAGCTCTATCCAGTTGGACCAGTATGAAAATTAAACCGAATACAAACAGATCCACTGATTTGCAGATGACACCAGTATGGTAAGCACTAGGCCCCTGACCCTGTCACTAATTTTCTAGTTCCTCAGCACTTGGGATATAAGAAAAAAAAACACAACTAACATAAGGCTTTCAAATCTTGAAAAGCATTTACTATGTGCTCACAATCAATGTTAAGCTATAAACCACTTGAAACTGAAACTCGCAAGATGACACTATCTCCTATCAGAACACACTGCTTTACCGCTAAAACAACATGATTTTTGAGTAATTATAAACACTCTTCCTATTACTAGTACTCAATCTCTCATTTCTAAAGATCTATAAAAACATAGATTTTTATACAAAGACCCAATCTTTTCTTCCTTTTAAAGATGATTATGGTGTTCAAACCAGCTTGCATAAACCTAAATCTTTTCCACCGGCTACCTGCTAATCCTCACCATCACAGCTACAAACACTTAAAACTAGACCTCATTTCAAACACATTGAATACACAAAATTCATCGAATCTAATTAATTTACTCAAATGACACTCCTTAACACTCTGCTATTGCTTAAATAAAGTGATATTCAAACAATTAAGAAACACTACTTAGCATTCAACTGTAGCACTCTCACATTCATTCAATAACACAAAAACAAAAATCACAAATCTTGAACACGTAAACTCAAATCATGTAACAAAACCTTCAAATACAACCAATCTAATTAATTTCTCAAAAATATAATCATTTATTACACTCTTCTGTACGATTGACTCTCATTTTCATTCAATAACTGATAAAAAAATCAGATAAAATGCAAATAAAACTCAGACGAACCAGAACGAACATGGAAGGACCATTAAATCACGAATAAAATCATCATAATGAAATGAAGCAACAAAACAAAACCTTACCGGAAAAACAGATCTGAGGATAATGCCTTTATTGTAGCTCGCCGGCGATGGAAGATTCAGATAACTTTTCAACCGTATGATTCAGATACAAAGAAGATTCAACGGCTATGATTCACTCCAAAAACCCCTTTCTCTTCCTTTTTTGCTGTTTGTAGCTTTCAGCTTCTTCTTTATGGCTTCCTTAATATATATATGCATGTGTATCTATATATTCAATTCCATTTTTACCCTTTACTTAACTATGGTTTATTCTCCACCAGTGGAGTCACGTTTTGCCGGAATCATGGTTTGGTTAGTTAACTAACTATGGTTTAAAAATTTGGAAGCATCTGGAATAATGGATTTACAGCCGTTAGATTATAAATCAACGGCTAAGATGAATGAGAGATGGTGACGTGGAGGTATGTGATTAGAAAATGACGTGGCATGGTCAGAGGGAATATGTGAATTTCCGCAAATGTCCCTACTGGGGACCACAGAGATATTTTTACATTTTACTTTGGAGTTAAAAATTTAATTAAATTGAGTTGATATTATTATTTTTTTCTTATAAAAATAATCTGATGTTATTATTATTTTTCTCGTGTGAAGATTGACTAAGATATAGTCCAGATTCTTTTATTTAATAATAACGTGAAAAGAATATGTCTAAATTATTTTTCTAGAGTGTTAATGTGTGTTTAAAATAATAAAAATAAGTTTTTATTTATAGATAATTTTATCTAGATAGTATGATGAGACTCTATTGTCAAACTAATTAACTAAATTTAATTTTGAATATTAGTATGAACTAAATGTCTTCATTGACTAATATATATTCTTTTATCAAAATGTAAACAAAACCAGTCTAAATTATTATTCTAGAAAGTTAATATTGTCTAATATCACAAACAAGTATTTATTTACGACTTATCTTTATTAATAATTCGATATTATCTTAAATATTTTAAAAGAAAACACGATTAATAACAAATAATAAGATACTGGCTATCTTTTTTTTTCACAGGTGGGTTAGTACATTAAAATTAAACTGCAAGAAGTATATATTAAACTCGATTCATTGGATTTAGTCAAATTAACAATAAAGGTTATTAATTTCCTTTTCGTTAGACCTATTAATAAACAGGTATTAGTAAGTCGATTTAAAAACTTCGATTTCTTATTTTATTTATCTCAAATTATTTATTATATTTTTATTTTATATATATTTTTAAAGATATATCAACTAAGAGTAATTATTTATTATTTTATCCTCATTTAAATCTCAAAATATCTTTCTTTCATTAATTTTATTAAAGTATGAATTACGATAGATAATTTGAGATGAACGTTATATTTAAAAAATTTCTTTTAACTTTTTTTATATTTTTTAGTGAAATAAATGTCAC